AGCCACAAAACATACAATCCTTTTATGATAATTATTACTCGGACAAATCTATAACAGATGAATATGCAGTTTACATATTTACAAGGTTTAAAATAACATGGACCAGACATCTAGAGCTTCATCTAGAACTGTTCCTTCCTGGAAGAAATGCAAATGATCAATCAATACATAAATACATAACTAAAAATACAATGAAGACTACCACGTTGAACTATTCCTAAGTGAAAGTTGAAATTGGTATATTGGTTTTATGTTTGTTCATCCATCAAAGTTTGGGACATTTTTTACACCTATGAAACAAATATAATCACCTTCTCCTTGTCCACCATCCATCTGTTAGCACTGAGATATAAACTCCAGATATACTGATCATAGCTATATCATTTTGACGTCCCAGGTTCTACGTATCCCAAGGTGAAAATATGATTTTGTAAAATTCAAAATGCCTCTAAAGCAGTGTATACTGTTGAAAACCTAGCCTCTCTAAGTAAACTAGAAAAGTTGGTGTACATAATGTAGACACAGTACTGTCTATTCACTGTAATACCCATTTTCCTGGGGCCTGCCAGAATACAAGAAGAAACTGTGCTGCACAGTGGAAGGGAGATAACTCATACATGTCTTAACATTGATCAAGTTTAAACTTGGTGGGAAATGTAAGTTCCAGTTCATATATTATAATACCATTATGATAATCCTTATTCATTCTTGTTGTAAAAGAAACAGTCACTGAAATATATTTATTCTAAGCATTTCCCTATTGAAATGTCTGAAACAACTGGAGGCATTGCTATATGTATTCCCTGCTTGTCACATTGCTGCATTGTTGTATTTGCTTCAAAGCAGAGTAAGAAAGTTTATGTTCAGAAAATGATAGCATCAATTTCAAAATTTACCTGTATTTATTCCATCAACGATGAATTCTCTCACATACATTATGTACTATATGGCATATATTCCTGACAGATAGCAGAATGCTTGTTGAGTTTCTTGAGAGGCATATAGAAGTTGGTATTCAAGTGTAAGACAAGAGTGCTTGTTGTTTGAATATGTACTAAATATAGGTATTACAATCAGTTATCACAAGTTATATATTTTGTAAAGTTTATACTGTAACATTCAACTCAATTTTATGTTTCTTAATACAAATTCAAGTAGCACTGCGATCCACAGTACACAGATATTTTAGTTAGTTTTAATGTTATTATGATCAGTTCGTTCCATGGTCAGGAGACTTATCCTGACCATACCAGGTATATTATTATTATATAGCGCTATAGTCCATCCCATCTATATGCATGCTCAAAGCGCTTTGCTTCCCTCAATCATTGGATGTCAATCTCATCGGCACATCACATATTCAATCTCAACTCCCTGGGGAGCTATAGAACTGGTGCAACCACGAGGTGCACTAAAATACTGTGGCTTTCCTGTCCTTACGAGGTACCCATTCACAGCTGGGTGGACTAAGACACATAGTTATAGTACTTTGTCCAAGTTTTACTGCACGTTGCTTTACCTGCAACTAGGTGTTTGCACACATTCATGTGGCCACCATCAGGTCATTTACCAATGGATTAGTGGGTTCTTTTAAGTGCACAGGGTTGTGTACTGCACACTAAGGGTTGTGACAACACTGAATGTCGTCTGCACACAAAGTTGACTCCAAGGACGTATATTCGTCTTTGTTGACTCCAAGGTTTTTACACAATGTCACAGGTGGGCTCGATCCTGGCCCCGTAAACTTGCCAGATCACTAGCCTGGCGCCTTAGACAGCTTAAACACCATGCCCCACAAGTTTGGCTTTAAGTCGCTTGTCCGGATACAGGATATGATTATAGGCCCTCAACAACCTGTACTCCATTTCCGATGACTGATCATGATGAAAAGACGAGCGAAGATTGATGAGTTGGCTTATCTACGGGACATACCATTTTGATACTGATTTTAAGGGTCAAGATACAGGGGCGGATACAGCTTTTGGAGAAAAGGGGAGGGGGTGGGGTGGGGTGGGTTTGCACACTATTGAGAAAAGGAGGGGTGCACACTTCATTTTCACCAGTCTCAATGGTCATTTAATAAACTTCGCGGGGGGTGGGGGTTGTGTGTGTGCGTGTGTGCGTGTGTGTGCGCACCCCCACTCTGGATCCGCCTATGAGATAGGACCTCGGCTTATCTTGTCTACGATAATATTCGGTACTTGTTATAACAGGTGATTAAACAGAAAAGAAAGAACATGGTTGGTTTCTTGTTATTATGTCTCAATAACATGGATCTATGCTCATGATTTGAATCAGTGGATTGTCTTGTCCAGACAGAGACTTTTTGCACACTGTCATCATATAGCTGGAATATCGCTATGCGAGCAGTTAAACAACAAACAAAACAAACATCTAACTACAAGTACTCTCCCAATATCTTCATGGATTATATATAATCACTAGTGCATGTGCCAGCATGTTTAGGAGATTTTGGGTTTTGAATATTCGATGCCTGTAACTTTCCTTTGAAAAACAGATCAACTGTCTCAGCAAAACCCATTAAATATGATAAAGACATATGATGAGAGAATGTATTGGATTTATTCCTTTAGCTAATATTTGGGCTACAGCCTTTTGTAATGTGGAGCAATGTGATAAGAGAATGTATTGGATTTAATCCTTCAGCTAATATTTGAGCTACAGCCTTTTGTAATGTGGGGCAATGAGAATGTATGTGATGAGAGAATGTATTGGATTTAATCCTTTAGATAATATTTGAGCTACAGCCTTTGTAATGTTGGGCAATGTGATGAGAGAATGTATTGGATTTATTCCTTTAGATAATATTTGAGCTACAGCCTTTTGTGATGTGGGGCAATGTGATGAGAGAATGTATTGGATTTATTCCTTTAGCTAATATTTGAGCTACAGCCTTTTGTAATGTGGGGCAATGTGATGAGAGAATGTATTGGATTTATTCCTTTAGATAATATTTGAGCTACAGCCTTTGTAATGATGGGCAATGTGATGAGAGAATGTATTGGATTTATTCCTTTAGATAATATTTGAGCTACAGCCTTTTGTGATGTGGGGCAATGTGATGAGAGAATGTATTGGATTTAATCCTTTAGATAATATACAGCCTTGAGCTACAGCCTTTTGTGATGTTTTGTGGGGCAATGTGATGAGAGAATGTATTGGATTTATTCCTTTAGATAATATTTGAGCTACAGCCTTTTGTGATGTGGGGCAATGTGATGAGAGAATGTATTGGATTTATTCCTTTAGATAATATTTGAGCTACAGCCTTTTGTGATGTGGGGCAATGTGATGAGAGAATGTATTGGATTTATTCCTTTAGATAATATTTGAGCTACAGCCTTTTGTGATGTGGGGCAATGTGATGAGAGAATGTATTGGATTTATTCCTTTAGATAATATTTGAGCTACAGCCTTTTTGTGATGTGGGGCAATGTGATGAGAGAATGTATTGGATTTATTCCTTTAGATAATATTTGAGCTACAGCCTTTTGTGATGTGGGGCAATGTGATGAGAGAATGTATTGGATTTATTCCTTTAGATAATATTTGAGCTACAGCCTTTTGTGATGAGATGAGAGATGTATTGGATTTATTTGAGCCAGCCTTTATGAATAATAGAATGTTTGATTTATTCCTTTAGCTAATATTTGAGCTACAGCCTTTTGTGATGTGGGGCAATGTGATGAGAGAATGTATTGCCTTTAGATAATATTTGAGCTACAGCCTTTTTGTGATGTGGGGCAATGTGATGAGAGAATGTATTGGATTTATTCCTTTAGATAATATTTGAGCTACAGCCTTTTTGTGATGTGGGGCAATGTGATGAGAGAATGTATTGGATTTATTCCTTTAGATAATATTTGAGCTACAGCCTTTTTGTGATGTGGGGCAATGTGATGAGAGAATGTATTGGATTTATTCCTTTAGATAATATTTGATAATATTTGAGCTACAGCCTTTTGTGATGTGGGGCAATGTGATGAGAGAATGTATTGGATTTATTCCTTTAGATAATATTTGAGCTACAGCCTTTTGTGATGTGGGGCAATGTGATGAGAGAATGTATTGGATTTATTCCTTTAGCTAATATTTGAGCTACAGCCTTTTTGTGATGTGGGGCAATGTGATGAGAGAATGTATTGGGGTTTTATCGTTTGGTTATTGGTTCAACTGCAGCTATATCATCATGTTCAACAAATTGCTGAGAGAATGGATTGTGGTTTATCCTTTAGGTATAGTTTAATCTACAGCCTATAATGATGTCAAGCCAAGTGGGGAGCGAATATATTGTGTTTTATCCTTTAGGTATAGTTTAATCTACAGCCTATCACGATATCCTTTAGGTATAGTTTAATCTACAATCACGTGAGGAGAGAATATATTGTGTTTTATCCTTTAGGTATAGTTTAATCTACAGCCTATCACGATGTCAAGCCAACTGAGGAGAGAATATATTGTGTTTTATCCTTTAGGTATAGTTTAATCTACAGCCTATCACGATGTCAAGCCAAGTGAGGAGAGAATATATTGTGTTTTATCCTTTAGGTATAGTTTAATCTACAGCCTATCACAATGTCAAGCCAAGTGAGGAGAGAATATATTGTGTTTTATCCTTTAGGTATAGTTTAATCTACAGCCTATCACAATGTCAAGCCAAGTGGGGAGAGAATATATTGTGTTTTATCCTTTAGGTATAGTTTAATCTACAGCCTATCACAATGTCAAGCCAAGTGGGGAGAGAATATATTGGGTTTTATCCATTGGTTAGAAAATGTTTAGCTGTACCATGAAATTCTCCAAATTGTCAGTGAGTCACAAAGTGGATGTCAAAAGCAACAGTGGTAAGTAATCATTTTAGTCCAGTCAACATGCATAAGATACTAAACACTAACTGTATCATGGTGTCTCACATTTAACTACAAATATGAACACATTTCATAACACATCAGCTGTTTCACAAAGGAAGATGAAAATGATAACTGTCCTAATAGTTTATTGATGTCTATGAGATTTACATATATACAAATATAATTACAATAACAGTGTTTTTCTCACATGGAGGTTATATACAAAACATAAATAAGAAGTAATATTTACATGACACACATGGTAAGTAAAGCCAATCAAAACGAGGGTAAATATTGCAGGATGCACATGTGAGCATAGGGGAGAGATCAGGATACATCATGTTGCATAGAAGCATTCAGGCAAGATATGTCGTTATGACCAACATCTCTACATAACATTAGGGATGGGGCTGGATGATAGACGGGCTGTTATGTCTTTGACAGTCAAGTCTTAAAACAGGCATATCCAACAGTCTGGCTGGTCTTGTTGTGGATTTGATTAATAAAAAAAAAGCATATGCACTAATAACTTCAACAATGAGCATAAAATATTCTCATCTCTTGGTATTGTTCTTGATGTTCTTACCAGAATAGGAATTTGTGAGACATGCCTGTCTGTCTGAAAGTTATCGGGTATTTTAAATACCTGACACTGATGACTGACACACGAACATTGCTGAGCCAAGGCAGTCATCTTTAACTGATGCAATGATGCACTTCAACTCAATGATATGACCTTTAATCTGAATGTATCGTTTCACAAGTTGTTATACTTATCAGAGCAATCCAAACGCTACAATTGTCCTGCGTCTATGTTGATGTAAGGGAGTTATGGTTGTCATAGCAACACACTGTGACATTCAACTCAGAGATACACTGTTACATTTACAAGTTTTAATTTTTGGGTCCAAGTTCCGTCAAACCATCCTGGTGATCATCCTCAATAATCTCAGGGTATACGTTCCGATAAATCTCCACTAGTACCCTGGATGCATCTAAGGCTCGGCCCGATAATTTTATTACCCCCCATTGCTGGCTTTTTATCCAATCAGGTGTCTATGCTGGGAACCAATCTTCTATCATAACTCACTTCCGCTTCTTTTATCTAACTGATTAAACTTGGCAACACAATTGTTGCAGAGGTACCCTGAAAAAGGTAGAAGGAATTATTGCATATATTTGTTGAAGGTTTCAGACCTGTCAATTTGTCTTTATGATTTTTTTCCTAAATTTGAGTCACACAGCGAGCAAACCTTCGCGGTTGCAGCCACCATCTTTGTTGACACTGGCAAACTTGGTTGTGATGGCTTATCTGATTGGCTACCGTGAGAAGGCTGAGCCAGCAAAGGGAGGTAATAAAACTGTTGGGCCGAGTCGTAGGTGCATCCAGGGTATTGGTGGAGATTTATAGGAACATGTACCCTGGAGATTATCGAGGATGCCTGGTGCTGTAGTTATCATGAAGTCTGTTATACCACATTATAGTTACAATTGTCATCAAGTTTATGTTGCTGTATAGGAGATTTATTCAAAGCAACATAAGGATCACTTTCTGGAACAGAGATCTGCATATCAGACTTTCTGCCTATATTCAAAATGGAAGTTTGTCCATCAAATAAGTGTGAACAGTTACTGCATTCAAGGATGGTTATGAAAACTAAATATAAAAACTGCTATTTTTGCTATTCACATACTGCTTTGTGTCTAATGTCTAATGTCTTGTGACTAATTCCAATCATATTGTGGGATTGCAAGTTCACATTGCACTTTCTGGTCGGTTTAATCTCAGCTGTCTTGTGGCTACATCAACTGAATATTCATGTATGACCGAAAATATATATTAACATAAGATAAGAACAAATAACTAACATCTGTGTTACATTAATGGTGATGAAATGACTCTGATTACAAATGAACTGAAACAAATCAAATAAAAAATAAAATATACTGGAATGCACCACTGAATCAAACTGAATGTTTAAAAGTAAAAATAACTTTTGAGGTGAACAAAAATAGCAGAAAAATAGAAATATCAATTATAGAAAATAAGTGGGACCACATATAACCCTAGCAATGATTCTCTAGAAATTGTTTTCCAACAAATCTGTTAATCTGGTAAACATGGTAACTTGTCACATGAAACGATTTGATGAGGATTGAACATTTACTCATGGGTAAAATAATTACACGACTGTACTGATTTGACATTTTGTTATATCTATTCATACATAAAATAATGTCACAAAAACAACACTGCAATAAGTCTTAAGGAATACATATATCAGTTATACTGAGTCTCTTACTGTTGAGATAATCAACATCAGCAAATGAAACCATACAGAACAAACAACATGTCTGTCTAAAATGTAATGTCATGGGGGACTGATAATAATCACCAAAATGACAGTGCAAGTATTGAAAAAATGAATAAACTGATATGTATGTCAATGATAATACTAGCATGGATCAAGAGACAAGACTGAGGATCTGTTCATGTACAGCTGTCGGTGTATGATCTTTGTTTATATGAAATCATATTAATATAACCATACTGATCATGATCACAGCTTACAATGAATTACATCAACTATTACTATATTCCAGAACTTGATTAAGAATTAATGATTATCACTTAGCTTTGCATCTACACCTAACAGCAGACAACAGTCTCTCCATTGCAAACTCCCAGCTTGTATGAACTCTGTGTATTTCACAATGAAGCATACATTGTCCCATCTTCGATTATCAAGGGTAGAAGTACCCTGAAACCATTCAAAAGCTTCACTTCTAAAGCGATGTCATCATGTCAGTCTCTCTTATTACTAAATTAACAAAATGTATTTAACCCATGACTCGATCCTGTTGGATATTACTGGATCACTATTATTTCTGCTGCATTACTTGAACAGGGCTCAAACCGGTGATAGTGAATGCACCCATTTACCATAACAAGATGGGGATGTAATACACAGGACAGTCAAGGGTGACGTTACTCCAGTACATGAACATTAACCTTATTGTCTATAAAAATCTGTGAGGAAATATAACACTGCTCAACAGAAACACAGAAATAAGCTGACAAACACTGGCAATGTGAAAGTACAGGGATGTGGCATTAGAGGAAACACAGCCCTTTTTCATAAGAAACACAAAATCACTGACCTAGTGACATGATATGTAATATTTAGTAATGCTCCCTAATGTCTTATTTGCAGGTCCTGTTTTGCTTTCAATTCACAGCATGTTCCAAGAATGTCACTGTTAGTCCATCAAAATATTTCACTGTGAATGATGTGCATCTCAGCAATTGATTATCAAATGTATCAGTGGTAGACAGATTCAAGAATAACCTTGTGTGACTTGTCCTCACGGAATAGAGGAGAGTAGCTCATTCAGTCCTCATGTCATGGCTGTTAGTCCCGCACTGGACTGCTTGTAGTTTCTGGAGCTGTTCATGTAAACAGGGCCTGCCCTGTAGACTGAACCGGAGATCTTTCTGGTCAACATGACCTGATCTATGGACAGGGAGTGACCCACACTGAATATGCATGTGGGTTGACTGACACAAGCTAAATTTATGCAGACCCGAGGACTGTGGGTCTGTTAAAGTTATTCTCCAGAGTGTGTACCAGTTGATCTTGTGGTTGCTCTGCTGCAGTCACTAGGCGTAGCACTTGAGATTACCTCCCCTGAGACGTTCTGTGCAAATGGTGTTGATGACTCAGTCTATGCATTCACCTGGGAACAAGGAACAGGGCGTCACTCATAGAAAACACCAATAGCTTGTCAGGAAACTTATGTTTGAATAACTGGATATTTTGTTTTATTATTAATTCAATACAATCTTAAGTGACTCCTGTTCTAGACTGAATATATTCTAAATTCTCAGGCTTAAGCTAAAGGTTGTACACGTATGAGTGAGAGAGTTTGGTTTTACCCCGCTTTTAGCAATATTCCAGCACTATCATGGTGGGGACACCAGAAATGGGCTTCACACATTGTACCCATGTGAGGAAACGAACCCGTGTCTTAAGCGTGACGAGCGAATTGTACACATATAAACAAATATACCATAGAAGATGTTTTACAAAGACTGAAACAGACACCACCTTTAGATGGAACCAAAATAGTTTTAACAAATTTTCTTCTTTTCATAATCACATTTTGTGTTCATGGTTTTGTTTCAAAAAGCAAATGAAAGATGACAATCAAAAACACCAAAATAACAGTGAGTGACTCCAACAAAGAATATTCTCAAAATACATTTCAAGAACATGAACACAACTAAACTGTAAAGAAAAGATAACTCCTATTGAAGACTAAACTGTTTGTTATCCGATTGCAGATCATTTGAAAACAAGCAGTCATTTTCCTTTTCTTTTTACAACTGCATAATCCAAACATTCTTAATCTTCCACAATTTATATTTTGTAGTGCCTTATGATTACTTATCCATGATATTAACATAATGCAACTACAGAATGACTAAGTCATAGTTGTCAAATCTGATATAGAAAATAGATACAGGGAACTCACCTTTCTTTGTGTAGGTTGTCAAACAGAGCTTGTCTAGCTTATTGCAGACCTTAGAGGCATGTGATGCATCTGCAACAAGAGGGATATGTACACTATCAAATAGGACACTACACATGCTGCAAAGGTACACAACTGTAAACTGAAATGCACTCCAGCCAAAACTGGAATAGTAAAGTGTACTCCATGTTATATCTGTGCTCCATAGCACTCACAAGTCCACCATCTTCTATAAAATTCTTCCATATTGTCTACAAAATCTGCATGATCATTTTACAGACTGTCGCCATATAGCTGGAATATTGCAGAGAGCATCATCTACTAACTTCATCCCATCTTCTACAATGTCTGCAGCATCTTCTATTAACTTCATCCCATCTTCTACAATGTCTACAGCGCACTCTTCTATCTAAGCATTCACTAACCCATCCATTTCAACAATGTCTACAGCATCTTCTACAAACTCCATCCCATCTTCAACAAACTCTTCAGCATCGTCTACTAACTCCATCCCATCTTCAACAAAGTCTACAGCATCTTCTATTAACTTCATCCCATCTTCTACAATGTCTACAGCATCGTCTACTAACTCCATCCCATCTTCAACAAAGTCTACAGCATCGTCTACTAACTCCATCCCATCTTCAACAAAGTCTACAGCATCTTCTATTAACTTCATCCCATCTTCTACAATGTCTACAGCATCTTCTACAAACTCCATCCCATCTTCAACAAAGTCTACAGCATCTTCTATTAACTTCATCCCATCTTCTACAATGTCTACAGCATCGTCTACTAACAAAGTCTACAGCATCTTCTATAAAGCCTACTGTCATGTATAGCACTCACCATTCCTACTAGGGAAAAGTCCTGCGTCGACAAAGTCGACACCATCTTCCTTCCTGCTTAACTTCTTCTTCATGACACAAGTGTTGATCAATGCATTCATGAGCTTAGCCTGCAATACAGAATGGCACATCCTGAACAACAGACAAACAACATAGCACATAATGAATAACAGACATAACGTGTAGCTACACACACAATGTAACAGACCATGAACAAATTAACACCTCAAGAACATGCACATCATGAAAACATTACACACCACAATCACCACCACAGCTTGAACACCATAACACATCATGAACATCAATGAACAGCCATGCTGCAGCACTTCATGGACAGAAGACACACATCATGGACCATCATGAGCAATACTGTACATTATTAACATCGCACATCATGAAAATCGAACAACATAGCAAATTATGAGCAACACATATGACATAGCTCATACTGAAGAGACGGACAGCAAATCATGAGCAAAACTTAGCGTAGCACATAATGACCCACAGATGCACAATGCAGCAGATCAGGTGAGTGAGTGAGTTTAGTTTTACGCGCCGCACTCAGCAATATTCCAGCTGTATGGCGGCGGTCTGTGAATAATCGAGTCTGGACCAGACAATCCAGTGATCAACAGCATGAGCATCGATCTGCGCAATTGGGAACCGATGATATGTGTCAACCAAGTCAGCGAGCCTGATCACCTAATCCCGTTAGTCACCTCTTACGACAAGCATGGCTTACTGAAGATCAATATTCTAACCCGGATCTTCACGGGTAGCAGCACATCAGGATACAAGAGCAACGGACACAAAACATAGAACATCCCAAACAACACATACATAGCCAATCATGAATGACCAACAAGAACCACTGGTATATATATATATCTACTAGTAGGTCAAATGTGATGATCCAAGACAATCCTTACAAAATACAGCTGTGCTCAGGACCTTCTGAGAGGGAAACTAGCAGGTGCCCTCAATACTCACACAACTGGTAATATTACTTGTGCAACATGTGCCATAGCCCTGCAACTATCTGCTCTAAACATTCAGTATAAGGTAATGGTGGTGTTTGCATAAAATTCATGAGTGGTCCCCATTGTGCTTCCGAATAGCCTCATTTCAACACGCCATTGTCAGGATCTTCTGTGAGGGAAACTAGCAGGTGCTCTCAATACTCAAACAATATTTCCCATGCAAACATGTGCCATAGCCCTGCAACTGCAATGTGGTGTTGGTATGACATTCATGAATGGTTCCCACTTATCCTCCAAGAGACCTCATGCCGAAGACCCGGGTTCGATTCCCCACATAGGTACAATGTGTTAAGCCCATTTCTGGTGTCCCCCGCCGTGATATTGCTGGAATATTGCTAAAAGCGGCGTAAAACTAAACTCAGTCAGTCAGTCAGTCCAAGAGACCTAATTGCATCAACTCCATAGGAACACATGCGACTATTACCTCAGGCATGGTTACAAAACCTGAGAACACATGAAGATCCAGGTTGGAACCCATGCTGTTTGTAAGAGGTGACGAACGGGATCGGGTGGTCAGGCTTGCTGACTTGGTTGACACATGTCATCATATGCCAAGTGCATAGATTGGTGCTTATGCTGTTGATCACTGTATTGTCTGGTCCAGACTAGATTATTTAAAGGCCGTTGCCATAAAGCTGGAATATTGCTGTGTGCGGCATTAAACAACAAACAAAGAAAACCTGAGAAGATTTGACAACGTGGAGGATAAAAATCAACAACTGCATATCAGAAAAAAACAGTACCTCTCTTGAATAGATTTGTAGCAGCTTTGTGACTTCCTGCTCTTCTCCCCTGACAAGGAACTGCAGGAACAGGGACGGCATGATGTCATCATCACCATCAAACTCAGCCTCCCGATACTCCCACAGCAACTTGTCAAACGGTGCATAGAGCAGCAGGGTCTACAACAATTGCAGTCAGGAGTATGACATCTCTCTACACTGTGCAGAGATAGAGACTGGATTAAAATCCTTCATAACTGTCTCACACATATATTCAGTGTTACACTACATGTCTTGAACTGGTACCAAGTACTACTTATTGTTTTTGTGAACACATAATCATCTCAAAACATCCAAATGTACAAATGTTTGGTATAAGGGGGGAGCACACTCAAATCTAGACTCTAGTTCACACTTTTCGTGTTCTTTCTTTTAACAGTGACATTAGCAACTGAAGAAAGTGGGGCTGCACTTAATCAGTGCATGTCTGAATGTGTAAACAACCATCACACTTTGTACATCAACAGAGTAAACATTATCATTATTATAAGCCTGTACATCAACTGTATAACCATAACTTTACTAATGTACATAAATGCTTTACCTACAGTACTGTAAATCATGTGCCTGATAACGGTGTCAGTATCTACACCAAAACATTGCATATATTGTAGAAGTTGTATATCCAAAGAACTATCCCCCTTGTAAACCCTTACAAAGCATCAACGGGGCAGGTACAGTCAAAGGGAGATAATTTCCATGAACAGAAGGAGAGAATAGTGCATATCACACTTGTTTTTCAGATCGCAAAGACCCATGGTTGATTCTCAACGTAAGTAACATGTGCATCTTCACCTTTGTCGTCATTGACAGCAACACCAGTTCAGGGTTCAGCCATCAATATAACACAGATACACAACTATGCATCATGTGTGTTGAGTGATGTTGAAAAATGCTACAAAACTTTAAATTTTCAAAACAGGTGAATAAGTTATTTTTTAAAGGACACACCATCAGAAATAGCAATATTATCACAGCACATAAGATTATATGTGACGTTAACTAAACTGACAAAGGTCAAAAGAGACCGTTGAACATCTGACATAGATGGAGCTGTACTCACCTCCTTTTCTTTGTCTATGATACTGACTCCCTCTGTGTTGATGGCCACAAGCACCTTGGTGTCTGGTGCACTCTTGATCATCTTCATGAACTTGTGTGTAGGCGTCTCCACCTGTCCACTGAAGAAGGCACTCCTGTGGGGGTAAAGAAATACTTGCTTGGATTCATGTATATTATCAGTGGCACAACATGCTAAATTCACTGAAAATCACATGCAATACTTCTCATCATCAAGATCTGATGAACACCTCCATTAGAGGTCATGTAAGGTGAGTTATCTTATCAGCCAGTCATCGACAGTTTTCTAATTCTCAGTACAAACAATGTGATTTTGGTACTAGTATTTAAAAGATGAACTTAAAGGGGCACTGATCTATGTCTTCAGCAAACACTTGTATATATTACTCATAAAGATGTACATTGACTTCTGTTTGTCAAAAGAGCAAAGACCCTTCATTTAAAAAACAAAATTCAAACTAAATCGCATATATATATACAAAGCTGAGTTTTGTTTGTCTCATGATCTCACAAGATGGGCATTGATGTTCCACACCACTGAAACACAGAGCAATCCTAGGAAGTTGTACTGAAGTCAGTCAAAACCCATTCATATCAAAATATTTAGCCGCATCCAGGAAATGGGCACTAGACCATTGAGAGTGGTCTCCCTTTAAGGAAAGTACCGCAACAAACATCACAGGTACATCACAAATACTGTCAGCATATCTTACCCATAGAATGGGTAGGACCAGCATATATCCAGGTATTCCCGGTAGAGTTTGCCTAATTGTGTTTGCACATCCAGTTCTTCATACTGTTTAGACAAGCGGATGTGAGCCGACATGAACTGTTCCTCACACTTGGCACTCTCATCTTTCCTCGTGAAGAACAGGAACTTCTCCTTCTGGAACATGTGGTCTGGGTAGAACTTGATCAGGTTTGCCCTGAAACAATAGCATGGTCTTTCATTTGGAGTCGTTGTGTATGACAGGATGTAATCTTAATGTGTTTGTTTCGACTGTAAGAACATGTCTTCTGATTGTTCACACAATACCATCTTTCAGAGGGATTATATGAAATTTTGTGAGGAGCAATTAGTTCTTGCTATTCAGAACCTTGCTGCAACTGATCTGTAACTCACACAATGTTCATATCTTTAAAAGACACATTTGGTCTGATTTCAGTTATATCATAATATGTCAGCTTCCTGGGTTAGGAAACAAGTGATGCAGTCATTTTGTTTTGTTTCAGGATATACTGCCATGTAAATGATACCAGATGTTATCTTAAAGCTATTCACCAGTGCTTGACCTGTCCCAGGGTATGTAGTATGTCCCTGACTCACTAACCTTGACCTTAAGTGGGGTAGGTCGATGTCAAGACAAGGAAATAAACCACACTGTACACACATACAATTTGTCTATAAATGAAGTACACTACTCTTTGATGGTACACACCTGTACATGAAGTACACTACTCTCAGACTGTAAACACCTGTACATGAAGTACACGACTCTCTGATGGTACACACCTGTACATGAAGTACACTACTCTCAGACTGTAAACACCTGTACATGAATTACACGACTCTCTGATGGTACACACCTGTACATGAAGTACACTACTCTCAGACTGTAAACACCTGTACATGAAGTACACGACTTTCTGATGGTACACACCTGTACATGAAGTACACTACTCTCTTACTGTACACACCTACCTGTACATGAAGTACTCTATTCCCTGACTGTACACACCTGTACATGAAGTACACTACTCTCAGACTGTAAACACCTGTACATGAAGTACACGACTCTCTGATGGTACACACCTGTACATGAAGTACACTACTCTCTGACTGTACACACCTGTACATGAAGTACTCTATTCCCTGACTGTACACACCTGTACATGAAGTACACGACTCTCTGACGGTACACACCAGTACATAAAGTACACTAATCTCAGACTGTACACACCTGTACATGAAGTCCACGACTCTCTGATGGTACACACCTGTACATGAAGTACACTACTCTCAGACTGTACACACCTGTACATGAAGTACTCTATTCCCTGACTGTACACACCTGTACATGAAGTACACTACTCTCAGACTGTACACACCTGTACATGAAATACACTACTCTCTAACTGTACACACCTGTACATGAAGTACACTACTCTCTGATGGTACACACCAGTACATAAAGAACACTACTCTCTGACTGTACACACCTGTACATGAAGTACACTACTCTCTGATGGTACACACCTGTACATGAAGTACACTACTCTCAGACTGTACACACCTGTACATGAAGTACACTACTCTCAGACTGTACACACCTGTACATGAAGTACACTACTCTCAGACTGTACACACCTGTACATGAAGTACACTACTCTTCTGACGGTACACACCAGTACATAAAGTACACTACTCTCTGACTGTACACACTTGTACATGAAGTCCACGATTCTCTGATGGTACACACCTGTACATGAAGTACACTACTCTCTGACTGTACACACCTGTACATGAAGTACTCTATTCCCTGACTGTACACACCTGTACATGAAGTACACTACTCTCAGATTGTACACACCTGTACATGAAGTACACTACTCTCAGACTGTACACACCTGTACATGAAATACACTACTCTCTAACTGTACACACCTGTACATGAAGTGCGCTACTCTCTGACTGTACACACCTGTACATGAAGTACACTACTTTCAGACTGTACACACCTGTACATGAAGTACACTACTCTCTGATGGTACACACCTGTACATGAAGTACACTACTCTCTGACTGTAAACACCTGTACATGAAGTACACTACTCTCTGATGGTACACACCTGTACATGAAGTACACTACTCTCTGACTGTACACACCTGTACATGAAGTGCACTACTCTCAGACTGTACACACCTGTACATGAAGTACACTACTCTCAGACTGTACACACCTGTACATGAAGTACACTACTCTCAGACTGTACACACCTGTACATGAAATACACTACTCTCTAACTGTACACACCTGTACATGAAGTACACTACTCTCTGATGGTACACACCTGTACATGAAGTACACTACTCTCTGACTGTACACACCTGTACATGAAGTACACTACTCTCTGACTGTACACACTTGTACATGAAGTCCACGATTCTCTGATGGTACACACCTGTACATGAAGTACACTACTCTCTGACTGTACACACCTGTACATGAAGTACACTACTCTCTGACTGTACACACCTGTACATGAAGTACTCTATTCCCTGACTGTACACACCTGTACATGAAGTACACTACTCTCAGATTGTACACCTGTACATGAAGTACACTACTCTCAGACTGTACACACCTGTACATGAAATACACTACTCTCTAACTGTACACACCTGTACATGAAGTACGCTACTCTCTGACTGTACACACCTGTACATGAAGTACACTACTTTCAGACTGTACACACCTGTACATGAAGTACACTACTCTCTGATGGTACACACCTGTACATGAAGTACACTACTCTCTGACTGTAAACACCTGTACATGAAGTACACGACTCTCTGATGGTACACGCCTGTACATGAAGTACACTACTCTCTGACTGTACACACCTGTACATGAAGTGCACTACTCTCAGACTGTACACACCTGTACATGAAGTACACTACTCTCAGACTGTACACACCTGTACATGAAGTACACTACTCTCAGACTGTACACACCTGTACATGAAGTACTCTATTCCCTGACTGTACACACCTGTACATGAAGTACACGACTCTCTGACGGTACACACCAGTACATAAAGTACACTAATCTCAGACTGTACACACCTGTACATGAAGTACACTACTCTCTGATGGTACACACCTGTACATGAAGTACACTACTCTCAGACTGTACACACCTGTACATGAAGTACACTACTCTCAGACTGTACACACCTGTACATGAAGTACACTACTCTCAGACTGTACACACCTGTACATGAAGTACACTACTCTTCTGACGGTACACACCAGTACATAAAGTACACTACTCTCTGACTGTACACACTTGTACATGAAGTCCACGATTCTCTGACTGGTACACACCTGTACATGAAGTACACTACTCTCTGACTGTACACACCTGTACATGAAGTACCCTATTCCCTGACTGTACACACCTGTACACACTACTCCTCAGTGTACACATGAAGTACACTACTCTCAGACTGTACACACCTGTACATGAAATACACTACTCTCTAACTGTACACACCTGTACATGAAGTACGCTACTCTCTGACTGTACACACCTGTACATGAAGTACACTACTTTCAGACTGTACACACCTGTACATGAAGTACACTACTCTCTGATGGTACACACCTGTACATGAAGTACACTACTCTCTGACTGTACACACCTGTACATGAAGTACACTACTCTCTGACTGTACACACCTGTACATGAAGTACACGACTCTCTGATGGTTCACGCCTGTACATGAAGTGCACTACTCTCAGACTGTACACACCTGTACATGAAGTACACTACTCTCTGACTGTACACAACTGTACATGAAGTACACTACTCTGACTGTACACACCTGTACATGAAGTACACTATTCCCTGACTGTACACACCTGTACATGAAGTACACTACTCTCAGACTGTACACATCTGTACATGAAGTACACTACTCTCTGATGGTACACACCACTACATAAAGTACACTACTCTGCCTGTACACACCTGTACATGAAGTACACTACTCTTAGACTGTACACACCTGTACATGAAGTACACAACTCTCAGACTGTACACACCTGTACATGAAGTACACTATTCCCTGACTGTTCACACCTGTACATGAAGTACACTACCCTCTGACTGTACACACCTGTACATGAAGTACACTACTCTCTCCCGGTACACACCTGTACATGAAGAACATTACTCTCTGATGGTACACACCTGTACATGAAGAACACTACTCTCTGATTGTACACACCTGTACATGAAATACACTACTTTCTGATTGTACACACCTGTACATGAAGTACACAACTCCCGACGGTGCACACCTGTAAATGAAGTACACTACTCTCTGACTGTACACACCTGTACATGAAGTACACAACTCCCGAAGGTACACACCTGTATTCTGCCTGCACATGCTCCCTAGGATTGTATTTGCCAAGGTGTATGAGGGCCTGTAAGCCGGCCAAGGTGTGGTAATCCTCTGAGTGAAGGGGGTACCTGCCCTCGATCACATTGAACTTGGCCTCATGGTACAGCAAACAGAGAATCTCCTCATTCGTGATCTGCAGCATTGAGATGATGAGAATCCACAAGTAACAAACATAGCCATGCTGCCACAGGACACGTACAAGAACTAGTTTTCTACATATTTGTAATCAATAGATCCCAGGCCATCTTTCATATGTAGCATATCTTTATTTTGTTAAAAACTTATACTCATTGCCATATGGTCTCGAACATGAGTTGGCATTATACACATTTGATGTAACTCTCATTTTAACAGATAACCTGTGTCTTCCTGCAGTTCACTGGTTTACCTGGTCCTATCACTATCACAGTCCTTGATTATTGTACCTGTTATTATCCTTAAGATTATTCCAATTTTCAGGTTCAGAGTCTATATCTGTAATTTCAACAATTGTAAGATGTAAGACAAGTCATATAACATTTGTTATCAACTTGTAGAGAGGAGATCCATGTGATTCAGTGTCTGGTAGGAACATAGGATAGTGAGTGAGTTCAGTTTTACGCCCCTTTAAGCAATATTCCAGAAATGGGCTTCATAAATTGTATCCATGTGGGGAATCGAACCTGGGTCTTAAGCGTGATGAGCGAACACCTTAACCTCTAGTCCACCCCACCGCCTCATAACCAGGATAACTTCCTATGTGGAATAGTTCTGTTAGTGTTGGTTGGTTTGTTGTTTAATGCCTCACTCAGCCTTACTCCAGCTATATGGCAGCGGCCTTCTGTCAGTGTCCATACTTAGTCAGTAGTCATGTAATTACTCATTAATCAGCTATTCATCTAACTGAAGGAAGATCTACAAATATGTTAAACTACAATAAGTTCTACAAATATGATTTCAGTAGAGATAGGTGTGGCTCACCGTTTTTTCTTTTTGTATGGGAAAGAAGACGTCTCTCTGCACCATCAGAACTGGCTCACCTACAAAAACAGAACATACTCAGTGACTGAAGATAGCTGACAACCAAAATGGTTGTACAAGCAAACAATATTTTTCAGAGAGTGGAAACAACAAGCGAAAGTGCATAATGTGAGATAGGCTAAGTTTAAAAATGTATGGTCACATCCGCAAGTATTCAGTAGGATTCACTTATGTTAAATTTCCTTATTGCTCTCACAACAGGAGAGTTGTAGCAAAAACAGGTATTGCACTGACTATCTTGCTGATAAGCTGTGTCAACGGTTGTCTCATCTGTTGTTATTACATGACATCTAGGTTGGAGTGACTCTATCAATGCAGTAAGGTGCTTCACATGAATTTAAACCATCTTATATTCAATTGTATGCATAATATACAGGTAATTGTTAGATATATAGGATATACAACATAAACAGGTCAGAAAAAACACACACAGCTCAGATGCAGCTTACACAGAGTTCAGACACAGTTGCGATGCAGGTAAGAGCTCGGACACAGTTGAGATGTAGCTTACAAACAGCTCAGACACAGTTGAGATGCAGCTAACACACAGCTCAGACACAGTTGAGATGAAGCTTACACACAGCTCAGACAGTTGAGATGCAGCTTACACACAGCTCAGACAAAGTTGAAATTCAGGTAACACAGCTCAGACAGTTGAGGTGCAGCTTACACACAGCTCAGACACAGTTGAGATGCAGCTTACACACAGGTCAGACTCAGTTGAGATGCTGCTTACACACAGTCCAGACACAGTTGAGGTGCAGCTTACAAACAGCTCAGACACCTTAGAGGTGTAGCTTACTGTGATATTTGTTAAGTAAATAGTACATCCCCATATATGATGACGCAGGCAAGTGACGTCATCAAGGCGTGTGATGATGTAATAAGATCATGGTGGATTAAAAACGCATGGCAGACTTATGTTGTCTTGTTGGAATCCAGGACCATCCACCCCTAACATCAAAAATACACGACACTTACAAACAGCTCAGACACAGTTGTGATGCAGCTTACACACAGCTCAGACACAGTTGAGATGCAGCTTACACACAGTTCAGACACAGTTGAGATGCAGCTTACACACAGTTCAGTATGGGCAGGTAACACACAGTTAAGACACACCTTACCATATATGACAGTAGCTAAGCCAAATTTTAAGGACCACAAAAAAGCTTTCTGTAGAAAGTGGTCAGCTTGTTTAAAGGTTAGACAGCATCACATCACTTCATGGGAACAAACAACACAAAACATCTTTGTTAGTGGAGATGTCAAACTTGCACACACACATCCCTAGACATGACAATTTAACTTTTCATAGGTAATTTCCTTTTGCTAGGCATTGTATCATATGCAGGGATTAAGATTACTGTGCGTATTTGTCTCTAAAGTGAGACGGAAATAGCAATGAGGTGTGCATATTCCAGTATTGTGCTATTTTAATTGCAAGCTTTACTCTATTAATTTAAAATAATTATAACCATAACTAAGGTTATGTGGCAGCAGCTTGGTGGATTATCAGATACTTTTTAAGTATGGAACAATTTGACCTGCTTACCGCTGTGGTTTTGTGCGGACAACCTATTTGCATTGCAAAAACATTTTGCTGAAATGTGATGTTCAGCTACACCAAATATGATTATAACATTACAAAATATTCATGTACATCTTTTTCAACTACAGTTTGTTTAAGGTGTGATTAATGGCACATGATTTCACAGCAATTAATATAAACATTATTGAATGACATTTTGAATAAAATTAATAAATTAAATTACAAACATAAGTTCACATATGCAAGGAATATATTTTATTATGAGATAGTGTAACAACTGGATTACTTTGCTAACTTCAATACAGATTTGTTAATATTATGTTTCTGATGATTGATCACGATGAGACGAAGCATGTCAGTCCGGCTTATGTACCCGATATTGTATTTTGATATGGACTTGAAGGATCAAGTTAAGACCTTTGCTTGCATATGAGATCAGCTTAACTACAGTCATATATGGTAACCAAACACAGCTTTGATTCAACTCACATGGTGCTCAGATGCAACTTATACACAAAGTTATACACTACTCACACAGTGTTCAGATGCAGCTTATACACAAACTTATACACTACTCACACAGTGCTCAGATGCAGCTTATACACAAACTTATACACTACTCACACAGTGCTCAGATGCAGCTTATACACAAACTTATACACTACTCACACAGTGCTCAGATGTAGCTTATACACAAACTTATACACTACTCACACAGTGTTCAGATGCAGCTTATACACAAACTTATACACTACTCACACAGTGCTCAGATGGAGCTTATACACAAACTTATACACTACTCACACAGTGCTCAGATGGAGCTTATACACAAACTTATACACTACTCACACAGTGTTCAGATGCAGCTTATACACAAACTTATACACTACTCACACAGTGCTCAGATGGAGCTTATACACAAACGTATACACTACTCACAGTGCTCAGATGCAGCTTATACACAAACTTATACACTACTCACACAGTGCTTAGATGGAGCTTATACACAACACACACACAGCTCACATAGAACTCTTAACATCCCTGCCCTATGGTACTCACTTTTTTCAATGTCAGACAGCTTTACATCGGTATACAGAACACATAACTCATCCCACTTTTGCACAACTTGATGCGGTTGATGATTTTTTTTTAATCTGATCTCTGTAAAAAATAAATCACATATTTCAAACTCTGTAAACGTTTTATGCAAGTACTTAACGACTGACATTGTCACTCATTAAGGATACATAATCAAGTTTGCTTCCATGGCCCATGTGATTTTCTCCAGTTTCTATGATTTACTGCTGCTATGTATATACATTTGATTTACACTTAAACTACAACAATAGTAACATACGTTATATTTGGAATTACACTTTCTTAGCAAGGTACGGACTCTATTACGTTTGTTTGGTTGTGGAAGCCACAGTTGACTTTGTGTGTCTGACTCTGAGAGTGTGGGTTGAAATCCTGGATGGTACTAGAATCTGTACTTTACTGAGAAAGTAATCCCCAATATAACATATGTTTCTTTTGACCAGCTTCTGAATCACATTGTGTATTCACTCAATGTCATCACTGCTGTACATATATAACATTCCTGACCAAGAGCATATCACTGAGGTTGTTCATGGTTGTATTTGTTTTGGATCACCTTCACAATTCATAGACACCGATTCTTGTGACCTTTTCTACAATTTCCTGAATATCTCCGTGGTTGAAATCCCAAAATAAAGTGTTCAACCAATCACACTGCAGACAAACTTTAAAGTTTCACAAATTGTATTAAATAACTACCTGTACAGACCTCACTACATGTATCAGGGCCTCAAATCCACTTAAACAGGTTATTAACTCATATTGTGTCACATTTCCAAATGTTTTAAAGTTTCCCTTTGTATCTACCTACCCAGAAGGCCTGAGACAAGCCATACTGCGAATACTTCCCGTGCGATGGGACTCAAACCCTGTTCCTGGATTGTCATATCCAGCAACTCCTCGGCCTGGGCAAGATGGCCATCTTCTATGCTGTAGAAGATGCCATTACGGTCCCTCAAGTACACAATCATGTCTACCACTGAAAATATACATCAAATACTAAACATCAGAGAAACAACAACCAATGAAACTTTAACTGCAACATTCCTATGAGCATTGATTCAGTGATCATGTTCATAGAACAAGACAGGATCTAAGAGTAATCTACTTGAAATAAAAACAAAAAATACAGAAAATACTGGCAATAAAATCTCCAAAGGAACAGTATAAACTTAATGAAAATCTTACCTCTCATGATCAAACTACCATACGTGCAATCTGATAAGCTTTGCCAAATGAACAGAAATACATAAATCTAGGAGATTAATGATGACTTGGACATTGATGAATGGAGTAATTTGAAGTGTTCCAATGCATGATTCAACACCCAGCTATCTGCATATCGTCCTTGGTAATGCACTAATGACTTTACAAACTGCAGTCTCATGTCTCCTGTGGGGAGCACACATCGTTCAGAAAGCTTTTATATTTTACACACCCTGCAGCGTAACTATAAAAATACACACAACACATTATTCTTAAAGCTTATGCTTGAGCACAACAGCATACAAACAACATGAAAGGAGAGACTATGAAATCGGCCATCACTGCATGAAGCACAAAGTGATATTTGGTAAGTCACTCTAATAACACACTTGAAACTGATATCAGTTACACTAATTTCAAGCTGTTTACATCATAAATGTCTTATTAATGTGTTATTAATCTGCAGTTTATATGCTTAGGATTATCCTAACATTGATATTTGTAAGCAATTTATGAGCTGATTAAATGTTTAGAAATTATATCAAAATGTCTGTTTACATGTTTTTAATCAAGATCTATGCAAGAATTATTTCAGTCCAAAAAGCTTAAACGTTACATCATATCATGATTAAAACATTAATCAACATCAGTGTTTGATTGATTTCATATTTAAAGCATAAGTCAGATTCATATCATTAACAGAATTATGACACATAACCTTCAACATGTCAGAAGCAAAAAAGGTTTTCAGGGCTAAAGTAATTTATCAAATCATAGGAACTTAGCATAAAAGTCATCTCGAACACTTACATGTCAATAGCAAGAGACACTTTACATTAGGGACAATCAAGAAGAGAAATTACGAAATGGAGAGATTAGTTTATGATACATAAATTAAAGCATAGAAAACATAGATATGACAATGAGAGTTCAACAAAAGCAAAATGAAATACTACCACGCATTGTCTGCAGTAAAAGCAGCAGCAGTGTGCTGTTGATCACAAGCTCGGAGGACTTACTTCTGTCACGACTCTCCACTGACTAAACCACTACCTCTCATTCGACACAGCTCAATATAAACAGTGCCTGCCTCAAGGAAAACAGAGCCTCAAAAAACTTGCTAGCAGGCCTTGAGTCAACACTGACACATTGTATGCACACAAAAACATGAGCTACGATCTTTCAGCGGTATGACAAGAGAGTTCTGCATATTTCAATACATGTCAATGCTTGGACTTAGGCGTTATATATGACAAATTCTATACCTAGTGAGTAATGGCGTGGGAGGACGGTTACGCTTGATCGTTGTCAGCTGTTCCTGAACACTCACCTTCTTCGTGAGTAAACACCTCAGATATACCAGCATACACATGGCCTTGGATTTGTTTGATATAAACGTGAAGTGCACAACAGGTGTTTCACATGACATTCAGTGCTGGTTCAAATGTCAGTTTATTCCCTTTCAGAATTAAATCACAGTATATTTATGTCATGAAACTTGAACTGCTTGTTGTGCTAGTCACCTGTTTACTCTGAAAGTGACAATTTGATTTCATTATTGTATAATTTGGCGTCAGCTGAGCATTTATTGTCTTTGAGTCACTGATTTTCCAATTTTGTGATAAATATGTCACAGCCAGGATTAGAAATGATGTTAACTAACTTGTTTGGATTACATTCCACCACTGATGCACATTTATAAAATTAAGAAGAATTATGTTTCCCATTGTAACAGTTTTATATATTTCCTTAATTTCCCTAAGAACATCAATGGTATAAAAATCTCTTGAACCTTTTCAGTTGAATATTAATTTGAGTTTTTCTCCATACTCTGACGTTTTCTTAATGTCTGTGGTCCTAACATTATATCAATATTTTAAGTGTTTTGGTCCTGTTTAGGCTGGACCCGGCACATAGAGTTGAGTGAGTGAGTGAGTTTAGTTTTACACCGCTTTTAGCAATATTCCAGCAATATCATTGTGGGGACACCAGAAATGGGTTTTACACATTGTACCAAAGTGGGTATGGAACCCGGGTTTTCGGCGTGACAAGCGAAAGCTGTAACCACTAGGCTACCCAACCGCCCCATGGAGTTGAGGAAAGTCTTAAAATAAAGTGCCAAAGCAACAGTGAACACATATTTATGTTGAGTAATGTTTCAAGAAAATAGAAAGATGATATTCCATCTGCTTACATCTAACTCAGCTGAAATGAATTTTTATATATGATGTGTATAGCCTTGAGGTTTAAAAGAAATTTATAGATATTTTCATGTCTGAACAATTTTTCTAAACAAATTGTACATTTTACACTGACTGACTGAGTACCAGTATAAATATAATACGATCTGTAAGTGGTTTTATGTCAAAGTCTAAATTTTTAGTCGACTCCTTCATCCAATGAATTAAATCTAAAAAAAATATCTCATAACTCTTAGATCAATACATATAATACACTGTTGAACATCTACACATAAAGCGTAATGGCTGGGAGCAAATTTCACTTCTAAAAGCACCCTATCACACTGGATCGGTGTACGTTTGTATGTAACAATACTCCCCTGCCTGGCCAAGTAGATCTAATTACACTATAAGAGCACAGAAGGGAAAACGGAAATGGGCCTTGACACTGTTGAGTCCCACTTGTCTCACTGACCCTGGCTGTAGGAAAATAGCATGTGCTGTACACACAGGAATTTCCTGTCTCTTGAAAACTTTCTCACAGGCTACTGAGAAAGCAATCAATGGAATTAGTCAGATATTATTAAACATTATCATGTGCAAACCAGCCCTGTATCATATACAGATGTTACTCTGGATGGTGAGTTTGGTTTTATGTAGCTGTTAGCAATGTTCCAGCAACATCACGGTGAGGGGACACCAGAAACATTGTACCCATGTGGAGAATCAAACCCGGGTCTTCGGTATGACGAGTGAAAGCTTAACCACTAGGCTACCCCATCGCCCCTACAGATGTTACGAGATATGTACATTATACTGTAATCAACATAAGATAACACACACAAAACAACTGGTGAATAAACACTGAAAATATTGTGAAGGTCTTAACGAGATATTCATTTCGACTTCTACCTAAAATGCATCATTGTTTAGTGATAAATTCATTTTATATGTCTATGCACTAAAATGGCTCTTTCAAAGATTTAAAAACAATACAATACATTCTCCTATTGTCATATTTCGACAAAAAAAGTATTTCAATAAAAGAAGTTTTCACATGGAAAATTCTATTCTAGCTGAATTGAATTCACAAACAAAAAAGTTATTTCATTCATATTATTTTAATAAGTTTCATCTATTTCAATAACACTGATGAAGAATGTGTCCTCACAACAGCTCATCCTGACAAATATTATCATTATTATTACATTGTTTATATCTAACCCTACAGCATGCAACAAACCAATACCAGAATGAAATGTAAACAAAAAGTTCATCTATCACATACCATACACATGCAACTAAGTACACTATGTACAGCTTTCACCATAAATAGCTACACTGACACATTACCTCTCTTCGGACTCTCCTCTGCTGCTTGTAAGGGAATGTCAACTCATATTACTCAAATTATAAAGTAACATAGCAAGTAATTACCAGCGAATCAACAGGCCATGCTAAAATACACATGCAGGTATATACACAAAACTGCTTCAGTCATTAACATAGACTAATGCTTCATCCCTATATATAATTTTGATAGCAACAAACAAACCCATTTAAATTGAAAAGGAGCCCCAGTGAGTTGGGAAATCTAGACTTGCTTCATTAAAGGCTTTAGCATTGCAGGGAGGGCAAGGCAGTAGGGAAAATAAAGTGGTTCAGGGACTGTGAGACAGGCTATCATTAACACTGAAAGCCCATGCTCCTGGCTGTAGAGTGACATTTGAGTCTAAAGTTAAATTATTACAATAATTCCCACACAACACACTCATAACAACCAACACAGGAAACAGGAGGGTACAACAAAGTTCACGTCTTTCCTGCTGTACAGTGTCCATGCATTACACAGACAACCCGTGAACATCCAGCTTAGAACTGGCCTTCAGCACCTGTATTTACTGTTAGACTGACTCACTGATTGGTAGATACATGTCATCATACTTCAGTTATTTAGATCAATGTTCATGATGTCAATCACTGGATTGTCTGGTCCAGACCTGATTATATACAGACCACCATCAGATAAAATATTGAACAACTTTATGGATAACAACTTGTTTTATTTCGTGAGTGTGACATTTAGCTACAGATTCTTCTGCCGTTGTCAGGCAGGAATGTCTCAATGGTACAAGAATCTGTATCGAAACGTCGCATAAAGACAAAGAAGTTGTTAAACATATAGTTTGTTTAATATTGAAAGTCACAACTTCTAAAATTCCACTCAAAGACGCCATCATAGAGCTGGAAAATTGCAGCGTTAAACAAACAGCAAGAATAATATTAAACAGATGACATTGTACAACCAACTACATTTTGGAAGTGATTATAGTTGGTTGAACGCTGCTAAATGAAACATTTAGCAGCGTTCAACCAACTATAATCACTTCCAAAATGTAAACACAATAGGATTATCTCCTAAATAAGTACTCCTGATGTTGAAAAATGATCTGGAGCCCTGTGTTCAGGCAGGAGGCCTTGACATACCACAGATAAATGACTCGCCAAAAAAGATGGCCACACTGATGACAGATATCCTGTTTGAACTCTATAACAGGGCAATCGGTTCATCCATTTAATCCATTTTCCATGTCATCGTGACCATAGATGACCTCTAACTAAACAAACGGTAAACAATATAGACACCACTTGCATGAAGCTTTTGCCAACCATTTTGTTGTACTTGTTCAGCTTGTTGACAATATTCATGATACAGGAAAAAAGAGAAAGAGATTTTATCAGTCCCTATGATGGTCTTGTATGACGTGTTTCTACACTGTACATCCTACTCAGGTGGGGTTTGGTAAAAAGATACTCATCTCTTTTCACATCAAAATCTGATATACCTCAACATGTTTGACATGGTTCAGGCTACAAAAAAAGAGAAGACGGTTCATGTTGGCAAATCACTTCAGCTCCCATACGTGATTACGTATTAGAGTTGTCATGATACGATGAGGCTGCGATATGATACGTATCCCAATAAATATGGGTGTGATATGATTTATATCCTTATCCGGTACTTTTATTTCATGAGTTCATATTCTCTACTTTCAGCAGGAGAATGACAAGCCTCAATCATTTGTTTTCAAAGCTCAGACAGCAAAGATTGGATATTGTAGGTGAGACATACATGCTTAGGGGCATTGTGCATAAAGAATCTGCATAAAGTGGTTCTACAACAGTTTCTGTACTTATCCTTTAGGCCTAAATAAAAATGTTATTACCCGACCGACCCTTGAATTGTGGTGCTGACCCTAGTTTTTTAAGAGGAATGAATAAAATAAGCTTTCAGATACCATTTTTTGCTCGGCACCAATGGACATCAGTCATTCTGATAGTGAAAGTCGACATGATGGCCGCAAGCTTGACTGAATAAACAATTATACATTGATAAATGTGTTATTAGTTCAAACTTCACTTCTGAAAAAAGAAAAAGAAAAAAAAATTCCTACCTACCTACCCTAAATTTTAATGAGGTGTAATTGGAACCACAACATTTTTTTTATTTGGCCTTACATTTTTACATCAATGAAATTAAATGAATCGGACATATTGCGATACAGGAGCAGTAAATTGATGTATTGTGGGACCCATATCGCAATGTATTACTCATAGCTACTGCTGTATGTAAGGCTTAACAGAAAAATAACCTTCAATCATAACATACTCTCTTTTTTCAGAAAATACAAAATATTGAT